CCCTTAAGTTTACTGTCTGTAGAAGGTATCTCGTTGCGTGGGGAGTAAGTATATCCTGCATGCTGTGATGAGGCACTGCGTCGTGTATGACGCGATGGGACTATCGCGCCTGGTGTTCCGCGATGGACATCGCGCTGGTGTGACACGATAGGGTTATCGCGTCTCGTGCCTGTCTTTTATGCCTTGTTCCAGGTCCTTTATGGGCTTAGGCTTCCATGTGTTTATTGGGCCCTGGTTAGGCCTATATTATATCCGGATCACAACTCAAACCCAATAATAGCATACGACTCGTTGAACTCTTTTATATACTAAATCTTACTTCAAATTAAATGAAAATAATGTAATTTAAAAGCTTTTCTTGTCTAAGTATAATTTTTTATTTATTCTTTGTCTTGATTCTTATATTAAAATTGTGTCATCTTCAAAAAAAGGTGTATTAAGGCACTGTCATTTTAATATGGTTAGTAAGTACATCCAAAGCCAATTAAAAATATAATGGCTCAAAGATAACCCTTGTTGCAGTTCTATGGTTATAAGCAAATAATATGTAACTCTACCATGTATTCACAAGCTAGTTTTAAGCCTAAGATAAATATCCTTGATGACTCAAAATATAGACAACACAAACTCTTCTTTTCCAATGTCTTCTTTCATCTTTTCTTAGCCTTTTTCTAAAACAATGAAAACTATATTGAGATTTTTTCATTTTCTCCTATACATTTCCAACAAAAAATTTGCAATAGATAATTATACTAATCTTTTATCTGATTTTTAAAATTATGTGTGACTTTTTTAAAGTTCTTCTTACTTTTTTTTTTTCTTTTGGATGTTTTTTTCATGTAAAATAAAAAAAATGCAATAACTTATGATTTGTCAAATTAAAATAATACCAATGAAATTTTATCAAGTCTTATGTCACTTAAACGTAAGAAAAAAAATCTTAATAAGAATTGATTTTTGAAGTTGGAGAAAAACACATTATTATGTCAATTATCTTGAAGAAAAAGAGTCAATAAAATTTGAGTTTCAAAACTTTATACATCAAAATTATAATCAAGGAATTTACTCTAGTATTACCTCAAAAAATAAAATATTACTATATTATCCTTAAGTGGGTTAGAGAGTTCATAATAGGACAAAGCTGTAATTAATGAATTAAGAGACAATACAACACAATAGATGGACTTGACATCACATATTAATCTAAAACCTTAATGCATTTGATTTATGGGTCCTCCTAAGTGTATGATTATCATTTAATCCATTAATAACTAATATGAGACTCCGTCACACTTTAATTTCTAATAATCTTGCTCTTAAATGTTAAACCACACATTAGTATATTATTCTTCAGCGGAAGTCTCTTTGAGCACCCAAATACTTAACCGATCTAATCGAGCCTAGTTGAATCTAACTCTAATACCTCTATTACTTGGTCAATAGGATAAGTGACAAACTATAATTAGTAGACTTAACACCACATCTTAACTAGAAATTTTGAGGCATCAAACTTATGAAATTTTAAACTCACATGATTATCACATAACCCATTACTAACTAATGTATAATTCATCAAACTTGAATTTTCAATAGTTTTATTTTATTTTAAAAGTTACATAATCACATAAAAAAATTAAATAAAAAATTACAAACTCAAAAACAAAAAATTACAGATTGCGGTAATAAAGTTACCGACTACATAGTTTAATCTGCAAGATGTCCTTTAATCGCCGAGGAAAACAAACAAACGAGTCTCGTTTCGCTCAAAGTAACTCCAGTCTTTGCTTTCCAGGAAAAAAAAAACTGACTCGTGTTAGCGTATCATTTACCTAGGCTTAAGCACCGGTATAGACTTCTGTAAATATTTTTGACAAATCAATTAGGTGCTTAGGTAGACGTTGTCACGATGGTCGATATGGGCCCCTCCAATTATAAATTGCCTTTAACCTCTTGGTTGGAAGTAGTAGTTTGTGATCGTATACATTTCAACTAACAATACAATATTTTTGGGTGTAGTGTTTGTAATTTTTTTTTTTTTTTGGTAGATAGTGTTTGTAATTTTAAATAATATAATTTTGTGTCAATTTTAATGAAATTATATCATTTTGGTATGTTTTGTCATTTTTTCTTTTTTATAAAATTAGAAATAAAAATAAATTTGAGGAGAAAGAATATAAAAGTACACCAAAACAATGTAACTTCACTAAAAATTACATAATTTTGTGTAATTTAAAATGGAAAATATTTTTTCCAATATTTTTATGAGTTTTTACCATTTTTTACAAGAAAATGTTATAAAAAAGGAAACTATTATATTTTAAACTTAGATCATATTATTTACTAATTGTAATTAACAGTACAAAACAAAGACAATTAAATTCTAATTTAAGGCAAACAATCATGAATTTTTTTTTTATCATGCAAATAATCTTAAAATTGTATTTTCCTAACATATAAATATTGTAAGATGTTATCTTCATGTTTATTTTATTATTGGCCAGCAATAAAATCCATACTTTAATTTATTAAATATTTATTTTAAGAAAAAAATGTGGATCATTTTAAAGTATATAAAATTATATCCTTTTAAAAAAGACAATAAGATAAATCATGAGGGAAAGGGAGTGAATTTTTTTTTCTCTCTTTCATATAATCTATCACTTTCATCATTTAAAAAGATATACACTTTTCTCTTACTTTAAATATTAATATAAGGGTTTGTGAAATGGCTAGTTACTTTTTCATATGAATCTAGCCATAGACTAAAAATATGAAAGATTCAGTCCAAAGGCCTAAATAACGGATTTTTTTAATGTTCTCGGGAGCACAATATTGTTTGGTGGTACTTTACCAAAAAAAGAAATATTTTCTCTCATTTATATCGCCTCCTTCCTTCTAAATTTTTTTCCCAATCCTTTCCCCTAGCACAAGCTTCCGGAGCACAAAAGACGAGCTCATAAATAATGTGGATATGCATACACGCAATCATGAGATTGCACAACTAAACTTGCAACGATACACGATTAATAAGTCTCCTTAACAGCTAGAGAACAAGTGAAGGATTATAACTAACTCTAGACCTCGTAGCTTACTAAGAGATATCTCGCAATCTATCAATCAAGGGCATATTAATTATAGGGTTTTATAAGAGTTATGTTGTAGGAAAAGTAATTGTGTAATGTTATAGAGATTCATTTTGCGTGCCGTAATTTATTTTTTTTTGCTTTAAAAAGTGCGGACCTCACAAAATATTGTGTGTGTAGAAAATTTTTGTGTGTCATATGACATGATTGATACAAATCCCTTAATTATATTACCATACTAAGACGACATAATAAAGCAACAAATAAGTCATGTTGTTACTATAAACGAGGAGAAAATTGTTTATCCTTTTAAATGACACAACTTATATCCTTTCACTCTCACAAAGAAATGAGACCCACACCTTTATTTTTTTGTCAACTCTCTCTCTCTTCCTTTATCTATCTCTTTCTCTCTCTTAAAATGTCACAACTTTACCTCCTTTAAGATGATACACATTTTTCCTATAAAAGAGAGGCTTAAAACTCAGATATAATTAGGGGTGTTCATCAACCGATCTAAACCGATTCAAACCGCGGTGACCGAACCGAAAAACCGAAAACCGAAAAATCGAAAATCGATTACAAACCGTAAATTTTAATTGGATTGGATCGGTTTTTGGATGAGTTGATGAAAACCGATCCAATCCAAACCGATCCAATATATTAATTTCTCTCTACCTACTTAGATCTTTCCCTTATCATAGCCTAAAAATTTCTAAACCCAAGACCCATTAATCAATCAACTAAACCAAAAAAAAATATCTAGTCACATCTCATCAACAAATTTTATCTTTGAAGAGCTTCATATCTCATTGCAAAAAAAAACTATATTATAATTTATTAATACTTTTGTATTTCAAAAAAAATAAATTTACAAAGCCAATATATACAAAAGTTGCTATTTGCACAATAATTATGAAATAAATTTTAGAATTTTCAAAAAACCGAAAACCGATCCAATCCAAACCGGAAAAAAATTAGATTAGATCGGATCGGATTTAAAAAAAATTAAAACCGAATAGATGATTATATGATCAAACCGAAAGGATTGGATCAGATGAGTTTTGCTTCCAAAACCGATCCAATCCAAACCGCGAAGATATAATTATCATTTTTCAATTTACATAAACTCATCACTTAAATACTAGTTTGAGTATCAGAGTACTTTATAGGTACCCATTCCACCTATTCTATAGGAAACACATTCGAACAACATTAGAATTATCATCTTGCATATCAAAGAAGCTAATTCAATCACAACAACCCGTCAAATTATCAACATTGGACTAGGCTAAATCATGTGTGATCTGATCCAACTCCTTACATATGGACCACTTTTAAAATCCATTTCTTTATTTAAGTCAACTTCATATAACCTATCGTAATATCCTTTATTAGCTAAGCTAAAATGACCGCTCAGTAACATAATTATGAGATGTGAGCTTGATAGATACACATCAACCAAGTTAGTTTCAACCGAAACCTAAATAAAGAAAAGTATATTACTTTTGCTCCAAAAAAGTAAAAAATAAAAAGAAAGAAATCTGATAAGCTATTTTTTTAATTTATTTTTTTGTAAAATCTGATAAGCTATTTTGGTGCATGCATGCTAGATTTCCGTTAAAGAAGTTTGATGATATTGATTGATCCCTAATACAAAGGGAAAACTGATATGCCGGTAAAGCCGTAGCCACACGCACGTCACACCTAAACCTACGCGCAAGGAGCACCTTCCAAAAGAAAAAGAAAAAGAAAAGAAAAAACGCAACGCAACGCCCTCTGCCACACCCGAACACACACAAAGCAAAAGCAAATTAAGAATAAAAGGGATTTTTATTTTCCTTATAGCTACGATTGAAGAAGAAGAAAAAGAGTTAAAAAATAATAATTGGTTGTTGATATTTTCATTCCTCTTCAATGAGGAAACTGTGTCCAAATTTTGATAAGGTAGATGGGTTGGAGACGGTGCTGGAGGTGCCAATTCCAGAGGACATGTGGACAAGCATTGGAAGCAGTGGTTCAAATCGTTGGCAGAACCTAAGAGCTCTCATGAAAGCTCAATTTTCTGTTACTGATAATAAATCTTCCCATTTCTCTGCTTCTTCTAACCATGAATTCGTCGCATTGCTTAAGCTTGTTGGTTCTCCCCTCATCCCTCTTCAGGTTCAATCCGATCACACCTTAACTCGCCCCCTCAAAGATTCTTCCATCGTAAGCATTTCTCAACCCATTTCTTCATTTCATTTCATTTAATTGTGCGTTTAGAATGTTCAAATATTGTTTTGTTTTGTTTTCTTGTTTTTTTAAATCAAAATAAATAACAGAATTGCTATTTAATTATTAGCTGCAGTAAGACTTCAAAGTTATAGAAACAGATTAAGAATAAGCGTTGATTCAAATTTCAAACCTTTGGTCATTTTCTAATTAGTCAAAATCATGATTAGGTTATTTTCCTTTGCAAATCATGTCACTAATTGGATAGTTATTGTGCAATGAGGTTTGCCTTTATTTTTATTTTTTGTCTTTTGGAAAACCTTGATTAGCAATAGTAGGAAAGTTCTATTGTATTTTGTGCTTAAACACCCAAATATCTTCTATGTCATGTAATATATATTGTTTATAAGGTGCTTTTTTCTTCTTATTGAATAAAAATGATTTCATGGAATGTGCAGGAAGCTTCGAGTGCCAAATATATAGTGCAGCAGTATATAGCAGCCACTGGAGGACTGGTTGCATTGGATTCGCTGAAAAGTATGTATGCAGTGGGGCAAGTGAGGATGTTTGGATCTGAGATGCGTCAAGGCGAAGCTAGTGTTTACCCAATAGGAAGGGCTGAAGTAGGAGGTTTTGTGCTATGGCAAAAGAACCCAAATTTGTGGCACTTTGAATTGGTTGTATCCGGTTTCAAGGTTAGTGCAGGTAGTGACGGGAAGATAGCTTGGAACCAGTCTTCTTCTCAACCTTGTCATGCAAACAAAAGCCCTCCTAGACCCCTTCGCCGTTTCTTTCAGGTACAACAATATAAATTTCCCATTATTTGCACACCAAAAAGCTCACCACCATTCTAATATCATTTAAAGAGCAACTATTTGGTGGTGAGATTAGATATATAACAATGGTGAGATTAGGTGTGTCTCCCTTGATAGTATAAAATATTCTCTTAGCTGTTAAAGTACGTAGCCACCATGCCCTTTACACCATTCCTTCTCTCAGCCTTCGCGTAAGATACTCATGGTGACTCCCTTGTAGAGCTTTGGTTCATACTATTGCCTTTAAAGAGAATTGTTACATTGATGTATTTTACCTTATCAAGGAAAACAGACCTAATCTCACCATCAAACAATTCAAATGATATGTCACATTGAAAGATAACCTTGGCACAACTAATTATGTTGCATAAGTTTAATTTATGTAATCAGCCACTTGTGTACTACTTACTATATACCAACACAATGGATATGAAATATGATCCTTCCCTCTAGCATAGCGAGAGCTATAAAGCTCCCAAGCTGCCTTTTTTAATGATATGTCACATTGTTAACTAAGAACAGGTTATTAGTTTGTTAACTAATTTATATATCCTGTTAACTAATAATTGAGTCATCGTCTAATTGGTGTGCAAGTAAAATTTTCACTTTATCATTAAGGCTATATAAAGGGGTATGATCAAGGTTTGTTTTTTACTGTCTTTATTTGTTCATTTTGTGCTTGTTATTAGCAGGGTCTGGACCCAAGGTGCACGGCTAATTTGTTCCTAGACGCTGTATGTGTAGGAGAGAAAACCATTAACAATGAAGATTGTTTTCTACTAAAATTAGAGACTGCACATGACATCCTCCAAGCACAAAACACGTCCCATACTGAAATTATAAGACACACGGTGTGGGGATACTTTAGCCAACGGACGGGGCTACTTGTCAAATTCGAGGACACCAAGTTGGTAAGAATGAAGCCAGTTAAGGGAAATGACTCTGTTTTCTGGGAAACAAGCATGGAGACTGTGATTGAGGATTATAAGTATGTAGATGGCATTAACATAGCCCATGGTGGCATGACAGTGGCCATGTTATATAGGTACGGTACGGCGCATAATCACAAGAGGAGAATTGAGGAGACGTGGAGGATTGAAGAGGTTGATTTCAACATTTTTGGCTTGTCCATGGATTGCTTTTTGCCTCCTTCTGATCTCAAGAGGGAACAGGAAGGTGCAGAGCAAGTAGCATAGTAGGAGTGAGTTAGGATTTTGCTTTCCTTTTTGTCCTCGTTTTCACTCTTTCTAACTTGTCAAATGCAGGAAAATTTGTGTATATATATCACATATACAAGCATAGGTGAATATAAAAAGTTTAGTTTATCCTATTCCTGAAGGTCCTTGATTGAAACTTTAGCGGGGAGCTTTTAGTTGACATCAAAATGATAAAATGCATTCAGGACTTTGGCATTAATCTTGAATGGATATAGACGTCCATGTTGGGCTCATTTTATTTAAGATAAACTAAACTTTTAGTTCAAATTAAAATGTTCATGAGGCTAATCTAATAAATTATGAATAAATTAGGCCGTCATTGACCTTATAAGCTCGATTTATTGTTTAATTTAAATAATAAATGATTTTCCATATCACCAAATACAGCATGGAGTTGTTCCATGCTTAATTATTGGTCTGAGTATTAAAGATTTAGTAAGAAGTGAAAAAATCTCAAAAAAAGAAGAAGAAGGATTTTTCATAACCTAAAATTAGCATTCAATTTTAAAATATGTAATTATTAATATAAGAAATATAAGAATCATGTTGTAGTCATTCCCGCAACGAGGATCCGGTTCCGTATCCTGATTTTTTTTAGCGTAGGACCCACATTTTATTTATGTGTACAGAAAAATATTCTTATCATGTGACATGACAAAAAATGAATCCTATTAATATTAATATTGGGTATTATTTCCAAGAAAAATGCAAATGTTAGGCAAAGTAGATCGTGTACTTATTAGAAAAGCTTTTGTAAGGAGCATTATTTTTTTAATTAACTTTTCTTTTTCATTTTTTGACGCTATTTTTCTTTTTTGTTCTCTCTCTCATTTAAAAAGTATCACATTATTTTAAAACATCTTTCGAATCAAATAATATTCTTTTTTATTTTCAAGTATTTCCTTTTGCTAAATTTATACATTGTAGAGTTTGTAGTATATGGAAATCAATCATTTTTTAATCAATAAATGGTATTTAAATATTTTTTATATCTCAAGTTAGAGTAAATACATGAAGAGATCATAAGTTTAGGTCATGGGCAATATAAAATTTAGTGTGAGGGAAAGAAGGCTTCAGCATAGATCGATGAATGAAATAGTAATAAATAAAAGGAAAAAAGTGTTTATCATTTATTGTTTTAGTGATTTTTTATTTTTTTTCTATCCTTTATGATAGTCTAATTTTTTTTCTCCTCTTAGTTTTATAGAGGAGAAAAATATATAAAAAATCATTAAATTTATATCCTTTAAAATTATAAATATTTTTCTCTAATTAAGAAATAAATTAAAAGACAAGGTTTTGATTTTGATTTTTGGATTTGGTGTTTGTCATTTTAAATGACACAAGTTATGTCATTTTAGGAGAGAGATAGACACAGAAAAACGGAAATCATGGAAGAGAGAAAGTGAGTGGTTTTTTTAATTTAAAATTCAAATTTTCTGTGTCTGTATCTCTCTTAAAATGACATAACTTTCTGTCATTTAAAATGACAAACACTTTTTACTTGATTTTTTAAAACGAAAAGAATATTTGTAAAATTAAAAGTAATAGAATACGACACCGTGTTGGTCTAGGGTAGAACGACCCCGAAGTTGATAAAACGGCACACGGATTCCGCAAAGAAGCATTGCGCTGTAAAGCACAAACCCTAATCTGCTTTCAGCCCTTATTTAAAGTGTTTGGGTTGAGCTTCAACTTGCCGCCTCTCATAGCACTGTAGTCTCAGATTTCGATTCTGTTTGTAAATATTTTTCTCACTCTCTTCGATTTCCAATTCTATTTTCATTGTCTAACGATTTCTTGTAGACATTGAGAATTGTTGATCCTAAAGACTGTATAATCTTCTTTTCTTTTTATTACTACTCTGTCATCAAAATCTATTATCGAATCCATGAACGAACTGTTTGATTTTATGAATTCGATTGGTTTTGTGTGTTTTTTTTTTTTTTTTTGATTTGTTCGTTGGTGATGTTCTGCATCTGTTTAACCTCTCCATTTGTGTCCAGTTTGAATGCCAATGGAGATATAACTGATGCAGAGATCCAAAAAGGTTGACTTGCCAACCCATTGCACCCATTTCGAAATTGCCATGGGTCAAATGGACCTACCGAAATACATAACAAAAAAACTCACCCTTTTGTACAAATATGTGTCATTTATATTTGCATATATATAGAAATGGCAGTGATGAACAATTTTTAAACCGCTTATTGATATACTGATAAGCTGTGCTGACAACAAACTCTACTTATCTGATGCCATTTAAACTTCTATTTTCATTTTATGTATATTTTTGTTGTTGTTTCTTTGTGTATTTTCTGTTTAATCTTTACTATTATGACAAAGGGTTGGCATATGATGTTAAAAATTCTTATCCTACAGACTGAATTCTGTGAAGATCAAAAACTCCGCTTATTATCTGATGCCTTCCCTGTCTTAACCTCTTCAATTTGATGTTAATTTTGATTCTATGTGTGTCTTTCTTTTGTTGTTGTTTTTTTGTTTTTTGTTTTGGTGTGAGAAACTGTTTCTTTGTTGGCATAAATATTATTTAATTCATCAATGATGAGGAAATGCAGACGGGCGGACTGAACTGATGCCGTGTTGATTGTCTGCCACTTCCATGTTTGGAATGTCTCTGAGATGTATCAGCATAATGCATTTTTTTAATGTGCTATTCTCCCATATGTGATTGTCTTAATTTGTTTATGCTTTTTATTATGGCTAGTAGCATCCCCTCGTCTTTGTTGAATGGTATTACAGCTGCTATGATGAATTTGCACAAAATATGTCTGGACTTATGAAACTCTGTTCTGATTATTTGCTTCTTCTGAGCGGCATCATTAATCCCTTGTTTATATTCTTTTGCCTGATGGTTCTCCTGGCTGAAAAAGTAAAAAAGTATATGGCTCTGGCATTATTTCAACATTTGGCTATAATAAGCTAGTTAGTTGATTGTTGGTAGATAGGTAATGTGTTACCTCTTGAAAATGTCGTTGCTTTTTTGGACAGAATTTTTATGTTCATTGCAATGTCATTTTTCTACATTGGCCTGGAAACTTGTATTTGCATATTCTCTATTTTGTTTTCTTGACTTCTATGATATCATCTTGTTGTCTATTTTTTTTACCAATTGTCCATCGATTATGAGCATATTCCCTTTAGTCTCTGCAGACTACATGGACAGTGCTAGATTTTCAAAAATATGATTTTTACATTCAGTTCAGATAATATCTGAAAATTTAAAATTTAAAAAAATTCAGCTTCTCGGAAATCTGAAAAAAATTCGTGTACCAAACGGCCCCTTCATTGTATTTGGGTAATTGATTATTTTTATTTCTAGTTCAAGGGATATGCACTTACAAAACAATCGTCGGTGTATGTACTTCTTCGTGGAGATATGTATTAGCATTTCCTAATTTTGTATGTCATAAACCAAGAGATTCAAGCATAAAGGATCATCACTAACTACTTGCTAATTCACTTTGTAAATAATTTCAGCATTTAAGACAACACATTTAATATTAATCCTGGTCCCTCCAATACTGCAAATGCATTATAGGCGGACATTATTCTATGCATAAGAAATTATAAAAATTGATTATTTTTCGTTATAAATTTTAGAATAAATGTCTTTTTTGATCTTCATCAAATTTTGCGATTTTTGCTTTATTTCTTGGTAAATAAAAAGGTTATTTGTGGTCTCTAAGCTATGTGGTTGAAATTGTGATTCTTCACAAATTTAAAAAAGATTCATATTAGTCCCTTAAAAGGATTAAAATGGGTCTATTTTGAATTTTTTAGGAATCATGAATAGTCTTTTTATTTGCTAGGGACTAAAGCGAGCAAAAAAATTTGCCAAGTTTATTAAATTAGTAACTGTACCGTTTGGAGTCTATAAGCTCACTATGTTCCCTTTAGGGATGAGTCAATGTATGGATGATACCTTTAGCACAGGTACAGACCAAGCTAAGGGGTATAGTGCCAAGTACAAGCTAAGTAATCGATGGATAAGCTAGGGAGATAAAATGACTCTAAGGAAATGGACAGTATAACGATACATAAGATGTTCCTGGGGGTGCCCCTGGGCAGCTATTTATAAGGAAAGATTGTGCTAATCGGGTGAAGGTTGGTGGGGAGAAGGTCAACTCTCCTTGGGACCATATGCCGATGGCAGTGTTGGGCGTGACAGGCGCTGCCATCGTAGCAGCGCTGTGCCTTCTACGTCTGGCGGTGTCAGCATAGGTCATAGGGGGACAGTTTCCTCTTAAGGCATTTGGGCGACCGCTTTCGGGAGTTAAGGTCCCTATGTGAGATACTTTGGTGTTTAGCCTTGGGAAGTTACCACATTGGTAGGGCTGACGTGGATGCTTGGTAGGTGCTGGGCCTTGACTATTGGGCCTGACTCTTGTTGGGCCATCAGGAACAGGAGCCCCCCAGCTTGGTAGCAAGTGTAGGTTGGTGCCAAGGTAGTCAATTGGACAACGCCTTGATTGGCGATACGAAAGTACTGGGCGTGAGTCGTTCGGCGATCTTGGTAACCAGTGTAGGTTGGTGCCAAGGCAGGCATCTTGGCGACGCCCTATTTGGCGATACGAAAGTTTTAGGTGTGGGTCGTTCCTTCTGATGACAGTTGTAACGTCCTCGTGGTCTGGCGGTGATTGGCTGAGGATGTTTCGGAAAAGGCTGCCACTCCTGGCATTCTCGGGTGGCTTTTCGGTCTTCGAGGAGCCGTCATGATGAGTTTTTCCATCATTGCCATTTACTGCCGGGATCCAAGCGTCACGTGTCCTCTTGAAGTGACCACTTTGTCCCTCATCTCAACCGCCCATTGCACGATGACTGTGTCATCTTACGGTTGAGTGAAGAGGGCTTACACGTGTACGTATGTGACCTTCCTCTTCCTCTTTCTATATAAAAGGGGGGAGACCCCTCGTTGGGGTCCTTGCTTTCGCGAACCATACACTGTTGTGCTTCTGCCCTTCTGCTTGTTTCCTATCCTCAGTTCTGTGTGATAGTGCCGGTCTTCTCTCTCTCATTTTCTGCAATTTCCCAGATATAGTGCTTCTTCCTTCATCGTTTCGTTTCTTTGCTTCTGGTTTCCTTCTACTTCTTTTTCTGTTGCGTCGATGGTTAGGTTTATAGAACCCATCCCTGGTCTCATACTTCCTGAGCCAGAAGTAGAAATTAAGGAAGAGGAGTTTGATGGAGCCTTTGAGGCACTGGAAGATAGTGTGGTGACCCTTCTGCTTGTTTCCTATCCTCAGTTCTGTGTGATAGTGCCGGTCTTCTCTCTCTCATTTTCTGCAATTTCCCAGGTATAGTGCTTCTTCCTTCATCGTTTCGTTTCTTTGCTTCTGGTTTCCTTCTACTTCTTTTTCTGTTGCGTCGATGGTTAGGTTTATAGAACCCATCCCTGGTCTCATACTTCCTGAGCCAGAAGTAGAAATTAAGGAAGAGGAGTTTGATGGAGCCTTTGAGGCACTGGAAGATAGTGTGGTGGGGCCAGCAATGCGGGAACATCTTGCTAGTTGTCTCAAGTCGTCCTTTGATTCCTGGGGTTGAGAAATTGCCCCATGGCAAAGTACCAGAACTTCTGGGTTTTAGTGAAAAGGAGATTCAAAATCTCCTTCCCGAAAGAGCTTTAGGGCCTGTCCTCCCGTATGCCAGTGATGCGTCATGTTCCAAACCGCATAGTGGACGCCATGAAGTGGTTGGAGAGGGAAGTTCCAGATCTGGCGGACGTTTGTCTGCAAGGTCTAGGAGACGGCGGTCAGGAGGATCAGTCGAGGAGGGCAACCTTCGTTCTTCATGGAGGAATTATTCTAGGCAACCTTCCTCTACCCATGTGTAGTTGGTGATTCCTTCTTCCCTTCCTTCTCCAAGTGTTTATGACAGCCAATGGTTCCACATCGACCAAATCAGGTAGAAGTATAACGTTTATAACTCTTGGACATGCCTTAATTGCAATGTGATTACAATAGCCACGTGGCCTTGGGCGCACAAGAACCGTTAGATTATTTCGGGTCATGTAACTGGTTATTTGCCGGTTTTGATAAAATCGGTTGGGTCAACCCGGTCCGTACCGATTCAGTTGCATTTCTGATCCATTGTGTAACTCGGCCCGGTAACATGTCCGATTTAGCGTTTTTCGGGTTGAACCGGCCGGTCCGAGCAGGTTTTAATAACACTGCTCATAACCCATAAAAAAAAAACCATGTGAATTGCATGCATTTGATGTTAAATATAAGGGAAATCATTTTTTTATATTGTAGGAAAAAATTATGTTATGTAATAAAATAAAATTACAAGTGAGATTCATAGATAAGAGGAGAGAAAAATAAATAAAAGTAAACCCACATACATCTATTTTGTGTATACTAAAACTTTGTTTCTTTTATGTAAAAGGAGAGAAATAGAACCCGATATCATACTAATTCTCTCATCAGAATTCTCTCTTTCCCTCTTCACTCTGCGAGTGTCCACACATGCACCTGATATCATATTATTTGGCATACAAACTCTGATCATTCTTTATACGAGTGTCCCATCTTTCTAGACCAAATCACCAGCCTCCATCCATTAGCTTGGACATCCTCTGTTCAACCACACACAAATAATAAGGATTCTACATATAGAAAATAATTTTATGTCTATAGGGAAAAGTTCTAATATTCCCATCTGGTTTGCGTTTGAATCACTTACCTTTTTATACTTTACTTTTTATTATTTACCTCCTGTATTTTTTTCATCTAAGTCCCTCATTAACAATGTTAGAATTTCTAATTAACATGACTATTTTACCCTTCTTACAAAAATATACTTCAGCTATCTTGTAATTGTAACACCCTGGTTTAGAACTGGTTAGTTATCACTAAATAATGATATTAAGCGCAGTTACAATCATAATATTCAATTAAATAAGTCGACAATTTTTTTTTCTTTTAAAATTATTTTTTCTTTCTTCATTAATTAACATAATCCAATCTTGTGACCTATAATTCATATCCATGATTGTATCATCTATTTAATACAGAAATAGTCAATAATTGCTTAATATCATGCACCAAGTGACTCCCATAAGCCAACAATGTATTAAAATATGCAAAATTGTAATAGCTTATTGCAGCGAGTTAGAGTCAGCGAGCTCCCCCCCCCCCCCCCACTAGAGCAACTTGCTAAAGCGAGTAAGGAAACAAGGGAATTAAATTGGAACTCGAGAGGAATTCCATTGCAGGGGCTTGCTCACAGGTCGAGTGTGCCTGCGAGCAACCTCTGAACTTGACAGGGTCCCAATGTTTTCTAGTGATATCTTGGGGTTTTGATTCCCATTTTTTTCAATCTCAAAGGTACCTAATGGACCACAATTTATCATATATATTTCTAGCAACATCATATTCATTAATCATTGAACTATCATATATAAAATCTCTCTTTCTTAGACTCCAAGCCAACTTTTGTATCTTACTTGCATTGCAAGAAATCCTTCATAATATTTGATTATGGACTCTTTGTCCTCAACCATTACATACAATAACAATATACTTCCAATACGTATCATTTACTTCACTATCATCACCATACAATCCTTTTTATATAACATCATCGATCACATAATGAAATCATAAATTCAACATACATCTTCTTTCTTCTACCTAATAAATGTCCATCATAATGTCAATTACATAACACGTGGAAATATCCAAAATACATAAATACAAGACAATGTCCAAAATACATAATCCCTATGCATTAGCTCTCTACTCAAATACAATATAAAGGATCATGCCCAATACACATTGTCAAGTCTCTAAATCTCCAAATTACATAAGGCTTATAGAGTTCTCAAAATCTACATAATGTTATGTGGACTTATCAAAATGGCTAAATCTACATGTCATGATACATATACATCAAATATGAAAAATATCCACAATTCATGCACTCTAAGGCCTATTGCCCAAGGATAAGCCCTTGCCATCAGTGGTGGTATCTAACATGAAATCCCCAATAAGGGTGAGATGTGAATCTCAGTAAGGACCTTGAAGAGTCACTCCTCTCTACAGTTCACTTATTGTACAAGTATAATGTAACATAATATTATCATCAATCTCATACATGCATAGCATTCTAATAAATCACATCTCATACATACATATCTCATAACCAAGGAACTCATAGGGGTCATATACCATACCCATATAAGGTTCCTTTCTGTGTGGTCCTTTCAAGAGATCTTGTATCTCCTAGGTTGCTACCCTCGTGGAGGTCATAATACCGTACCCATGGAAAGGCCACATATAGCAATTTATGGAGGTCATCTACCATACCCACTTGCGGAGGTTATTCTACCATGCCCATTTATGGAGGTCATTTACCATGCCCACAGAAGATGTCAATCACATATAATCATCTACTGGCTAGAGGTCTCACCATAACATAATATCATCATACAACTTAACATAATTTCATTATTTCTATTTCATAATCTATCATTAAAACATATTCTGAAACATTGCATTATGCAATTCTGCATGCTCTCTATGATGTCATACTTCTACCATGCACAAACATACAAACCATTACCCCAAAAGGACCTGGTGGAACACATAGGAGATTAATTCCAAAGACCAAAGTTTACATCTATAGCGCACTTGATTCAAGATTTTCTCTTTTGCAATTATCACAACCACAATTTATCTTGCAATTGTAACCTATAACATAAAGCGAGATTGTGATCAACATACATATCATTCATCATTTTTAAAACACACATGCTAAGATATTGTCTAGACACATAATTTCTCTCTAACTTTACTTATCCACCTGGGGAATTTCTCTAAGATCTTAGTCTTAGTCTTTAATAATTCAAATTTCTAACAGTCTCTCCACCTTCAAAGTGTATACACGTCCATAACTACATAATCCACACCGCAACACCCTCAACATACTAATTTCATGTCATAATTATCAAAGGTTCCAACATCAACTCTAGCTCATTTTGTCAAAATGATACAAACCATCAATTTATGGATTTTTCTTCAACATAACAACATTCTAAGCATTCTTTACCAAAGATTCCATGATCAAAACATCTACTAACTACTTATTCCATGCCAAATTCGGATTACGCTATTCATCAACCCTAACATATGTGAAATTTTATGAAACTTGATGTAGGTTGAGGAAATCTTACCATAAATAAGTTTAGAGGAGTGTAGGGAGTGTTTTCAATGCATCCATTGACCCCAGACACCCTCCAATGCACAAACCCTAAGAATTTCTTTAAACAAAATCTCCCTCCAATGGCCATCAATTCGAAAATGAAGAGCGGAAGGAAGATGAGGTAGGGTTTCTAAGAAGTTTTTGTGTTTACCTCAAGTGCTCTCATTGTCTCTAGAAGAAATGGGTTTCAAGCTCCCCTTTTGGTCATTCTCTCGGTGGTTGCAGACATAAATGAGGTTGTTTCTAAGTGGGAGACCGAAACCTATGTTTTAAGTTCTGAAATCGTGTTTGCTCTCGCTGACCAACTCGCTTCAACGAGAAAGGGCAACGAGCTCATACAACGCTTGTTGGGGAGCTTGCTTCAGTGAGCAAAAGTTGTCAAGTGACTCTAATATTATTCCTTTTTTTCTATTTCTAGCCAACACTTAGCATATCTTAGTGTGTGTTTTCTCACATAATTCTAAAAATTTAAATTCTAATAATTTATAACAAGTCTCGGGAAATATCTTTATTTAACCCACACTCTATGCTTTGTAATTTATCTGTCATTTCTAATTTCTGAATTCTTTAATAATTCATAAAAATTCTTAACAGTTCATGAAATTTTTTAATAATTCTAATTATGAGGTTGAGATATTATAGTAATATTGTTCCTCATACTTTGCAAGGGTGTTTTATCATATAAAATTTCTCTAATTTCTAATAAAATTTGTGAAGTTCCTATAATAAGGTAATATTATGAAATTTGTGATATATCCCAATATCAAGGGAAAATTTTTTATTTATTTATGAAAAGTAGATTTGGCCGTGATATTTCGATAAAGAGACATCGTGTCAATTTCAAGGGTAGTCCTGTTAACAATATTGACATCTTAGCAATAATGATTCTAATAATTACTCATGTGAATTTATCAGTATAGTTATAGTATCTATTGTGACACCCTGTCCTATATTAATGTTATTTATCTTGTAAACTTTTTATAATTTTTTTATATTTAAATAATATTTTATCTTACTTGCTTCTTAGAAACATCAAAAGAAAATTTATTCCCTTATTACAGGAACTTCACAAATTTTATCTGAAACGGGAGAAATTTATATGATAAAAAACCCCTACAAAAAGTTTGAAAAGGAAGATAACACGTGGTAACGTATTTTTGTAAGAATGATAGAATAGTCATAATAATTAGAAACTCTACTATTGTTAACGAGAGACTTAAATGAAAAAAAACATGTGGGAGTAAATAATAAAAAATAAAAGTGATTCAAAACCAAACCACGAGAGTTTATTTGAACTTTTCCCCATGTTATAAAATATAATTCGAATTCGACTGTTGTGTTTTAAACAATGGACGTGATATTATTACAAAGATTTGATGAAAACTCATTAGAAAATTTTGTAATTTTTGTTATATTTTCGTACTTTTTTTTTCATCTATTCAAGTTATTTTTATTAAAATATAACGAATATATTTTCTTGACCCATGCTTCATAAAGCAAGAATGAAGATAGCCCATTTCATGAAAGATTCTTTACGGAACATTCGGCAGCGTAAATATGACGCGGCTTCCCGCGTGACTAGGTTGCGAATTTGTAGTAACTCACCAGTGTGTCAAAAAGCCAAACCCCATTACCCCACTAGCTAGTTATGGGTTTAGGGAGGTACCTCTCCACCCACCCATAATTTGGCCTGCTCCACGTTACTGTAATTGATGAGTGAGCTAGCGAGCTTTATTAAATAAGAAATGATTAAATTTGTATATTTTTTTTTACTTTCCATACTTCATTGTCATTTTTAATTTAGTTTTCATATTAAATTTTTTTATTTAATTCATATATATACCTCATCACTATCTATTATTAATATAATAGACTATAATGTTAAGAGTGTAGAAATTGGGCTTTTTATCAAATACTATTGTCGTAAGCGGTAAAGAATTTGTGTCCCTTAATCAGAGATTTCTAGTTCTAATCCTGTAAATGGAAAAAAATAGAGAATCGCCCTGCTTAAGGTCTGACAATGCTCAAACCAAACTAGTCTAAAGAATAAATCGATTGAAGAGACTCAAAAAAAGAAATTCGGCTTTTTAACTTTATGATGCAAAATTGAAGATATTAGTTTAATTATTTTAACAAATCATTTCTCCATCTAATTCGAGTGAAACACGCGTGAGGAGAGCATGTGTTTAAATTACGTATTATCCATAGGTGATTTATGCAAGAGTTAAAACACATTTGTCATGTATCGTACTCTATAAGATGCGAATAGATACGTAACTTAAATGTACACACAGGATCTGTGTCTTCTACTGTGCTAATTTCTGCACAAGTTATACATAAAAGTATGCGCAACTTAAACACGCACATTTTTTTTATGAGTTTCATTCATATTAAATTGATAAATAATTTGTAAAAGGTAATTAAATGATATGTTTGTGTTTTTTTTTTTTTTTTTGTAAAAAATCAATTCAACTCAAAAACTTAAGTTGTTGGGTGATGCTACTTGTATTCTTAACATGTCCCTTCACAAGAGAATCATTAAGGACTTAAAAGGTGAATAATACATCAACCGTCCAGCTTATTATACAAAAATTCCACAAAGAAAATATGAGACAGTGACAATTGAATCTGGGACATAAACTCTATTATCTCGTAAAGAATCAAATTAACTCAAAAATAACTTAAGGTATTAGATGATGCTAAGTTAATGTTTATATTATAGCATTAGTGGTCAAAAAGCCAGGAATTGGTGTTATTAAATTGGTTGGGGGCCACGGCACACTGTTTACCCACCCACCATTCTCTCACTAACCTTGTTTGTCTCAATCTTGCTACTTATTCTGTGAAAGTGCTTTTGGTATAGTCACCACCAAACCATAGACATTATTGAAGGGAAGATAAGATGAAGGACGAAGTTCCCACCGTCACATCTCAAGCCACAAACGCCACCACCATGACAAAGGGACACTACAAGTTCTGGGTCTTAGCTGCTATTATCCTTCTAGCTCTTTGGTCCATGTTCACTGGCTCCGTCACTCTCAAATGGACCGCAAACAACCTTACCCGTTTCTCCTATGACTTCGATTCTACGACTCTCGAAGATCTCGATGTGCTCGTATGTTACTCTTACTACATATAAACACAATTATTATGTTGTGTTTTTTAGTAAACTGTGTACCATGAATCTTTGTCGTGTTGTGTGTGTATATATTTTTCCTCACACATCACTTGCTTGACTTGGATTTTTAATTTTTTAAATTTTTATTTTTTTTGTTTTGATTTGGGTTTTGAGAAATAGGAAGTGGAGGAGAGGGAGAAGGTGGTGAAGCGCATGTGGGATGTGTACAGTCACAGGCACAGCAGCACCGCTCGGTTACCTCGTTTTTGGTGTGATGCTTTTCATGCTGCTTATGAACACTTGGTGAGTGATGTTTCTGCTGTACGAGATGCTGCTGTTTCAGAAATTGCCAAGATGTCCCTTCACTCTCTCAATTTGCACCACCTTCCTCTTCATCTTAAATCAGACTTGGTAAGTTAAGTTGATTCCTTTTGTTTTTTTATGAAAATTATTACTTCATGATGTCATGTGCAAATGAAATGTACAATTTGAGTTTCTCCCTCATTGGAATTTGTGAGTTAGCTTTCTCTTGATTTTCCTTCATGCTTTGTTGATTTATGTCTGATAAATAGACAATACTTTGAAGGGAACTATGGGGGGTTACATGGACCAGTTAAGAGTTTTGGATTATGCATAATGGCTTTTTGAAACAAGAATTTCCAATTTATTATATGCTTTTCAAGTTATTCCTCTTAACAGTTTGAAATGCTTGAAAACAATCCTTGGTTTTAGGCTTTCAGCCTTCAGGTTTGCACCAAGTTAACTGATGTGAAATCATCTCATATATTTAACTCAACATATGACTTATATTACTGCGAAAATTGTTCAATTACTTACCCTCTTGACATTCGGGTGGTGTATAATTCTATATCCAGAATTTTGTTGTGTAACAACCATGTAGCACGCGTTTCTCTCAATCTCAAACATATTATACCTTTTTTTTTCTCAATTGACATGAAAGTAATCTCATCTGACATCTCTTATTACGGATGTGAAGTTGTGAATTTCACCCTTTAATTATAATATCATCCCTTTGGGATGAAATGGCTAGCCAGATATACACTTGCTCAGTTGTTAAGATAAATGGGTCGCGTTTTGATGATCAGCTTGTGCAGAACTTTAGGGGATCAAGAAAAATGAAGCACGCAAAGAGTAGCGTGGATGCTACAGTTGGAAGTAACCAATAACAAGAATCATTCCTTTTGCTGTTGAGCATTGAAAGTTGAAACATGACACTGGTGTTGCAGGGACTGAACCAGATCATGTATGAACAACACCTTCCAAAATATTCCCTTACACTTGTCCGAGTATTACTCTTCCCAAATGTACAATTACCTATTCTGTATTGGTTTCGGGATTGAGATATAAAATTTGTGTGTAAATCTTACCACGCTAGGCCTGCTATTTATTGTATATTTTTGTATATTACATATTTACATTTGTAATGTCATGGATGTACCAATACGAAATTGCTTTCTTGGACGGTAAATAAAAAGTATGCTATAAGAGTATAAGACAATCTTACTAATGTGTGCTGTTCGTTCTTGTATTCCCTCTCTTGAACAGAATTATTCCCTCTTAAGAGCAGGGTATGCACTTCTGTTAGAAACTGAAAATGGCAACTTTAAAGAAAAATTTATAAAAGTTGAACAGTCACACGAAGTATGATATTTTGCATTCATTTTATGTTTTGACCTTTAAATTTAATTTAAAATATAAAATAAGTTATTCTACTTATCTTTTTTTCATGTCTATTTTGTCTTAAAAAATTCTGATCTAATGATATTGAAAATTGATAAGTAAATTAGACATAAAAAAAAAACAGATAAAATAACTTATCCCTTAAAATATATATAAAAATTTCTGTCTACGTACTTGAGATCAAGAGCGATTTAACAAGTGTGTCGGACACTTTTTCTCCCATATGTAATTCTAAGCATTAGTAATTTCAACTGCTACTAAAACTTGAAACGTTATAGAAGTATAAGTTGAATAATTACCAACATTTAAATCAAGAAAAAATATTTCCTACACAAATGAGGAATAAATTGAATTATGGTAGAGGAATAAATTGAATTATGGTAAAGGTTGACGGAAGATTATATCATTCTAAGCGATATCAAACGTCAAAACAACTACATTAAGATAACAAAATTGGTTAAGCAGATCCAATAAATGCTGCAACCGTTTCTGTGTAAAAAAGGAAATAAAAACTCTAAATCGGAAAAAGCATTTACAGAGTACGACCAAAATGTATTTACATCTACCGTAATGACTTCCTCCATTAATAATCTTAATCTTCTACTGTCTGGATCTCACCCATCATGATCCGGTTACTCACAACATTAAATCCCAAAACTGAAGCGCTGACCTTTTTCCCTTTCTTACCCTTTTTCTTTCCACCTCCTTTCGAGTTTCCTTCAGCGTGGTCCACATCCTGTATATCTGCATTTGCAGATAGCATGCCTGCAGCACCAAATCCACTAACTTTCTTATCATTCCTACTCTGAAATGCTATCTCCAAAACATCTGATGGTAACAACTCCTTGTAATTGAGAAATTTTTCAATGAATTCATGGTCAGGGTCATATGATCCAAGATTTTCCATGAGAAGCATCTCAGCTTCTGATCTGGATTGCTTCAAACAAAATTCAAGGAAACTTGTATCTGCAACCCACAAAAAAATAGAGAGTTAAAAAGACATTTAATTGTACTTCAAGAATAACATAATCTTCTTAACCAAAAACACAGCTGCAAGATTCAAGCAAAGCGACATACATCATATTCTCAGCCCAATACATGTCATATTTTAATATGACAAGCATATGCCAGTCTACACGCAGGTAAATATTTAATAGTTCAATTCAAAACCAATATCTGGATTAACCCTTCAAACTAAAGAACAGCAACCAAAAACGGAAATGGTACACATACCTTTTGTCCCAATAAGCCTAACACACTCATTCTCACACCAATCTCTGAAGCCCATGGCCTCTGAAAATAATAATAAAAAAAGTTAGTATTTTATAGAAATGTGAATAGATCTAGTGAAGTAGATTAAATGAAGGACTCAATTAGATAGAATGGAGCTACTGCGCAAGTGGAATGAACACACTAAGTTGAAATAATGAAGATATATCTTTCTTACCAGAATGCTTAGTCATGGCATCTTTTTTCAATTTCAACATTGATTGAGAAGAGGCAGGTGATGATGACAGAGACTGTTCAGTTGGTTTGCCACTCGCTGATTTTTGTCGGGTTAATATTCCGGGAGAGTTACCTTTCAAGGGTACATTTTTCGACCCCCAGCTCCCCTGACTTGCAAGCTGAGGGAAATCTGACCTGCTTACAAAGACAATAAATAAATCAGCCACAGCTCATAATTCTCAGCATCAAGACTGGATATTTATGGAATGATTAGCCACCTACTGTTGGATATGCTTCTTTTGAATATCAAGTTTTAAAATAAAACAAATGCCCTTGTACAGTGGCAATGGTCAAGGTAGTCTAGGAAAAAGATGGCACGCCATTCTCCGATCCCATAAGGCAAGAAAGCAAGAGGAATGGGGACAGCCAATCCCCTAAAAGGCCCAGATATACAAGTTAAAGACAAGTAATTTGAAATTCTATGCACTTTACTAGCAGCCAGTTCAAAAATAAAATAAATACTATAACCTATTGTTAAGCCAATAAATCCTTCTGTTTTGTACTTTGCTCGTTTAACATGATATGGAACAGAATTTGATTGCTTGCATGATATCATAGAAACTAAACAAGATTATTTAAGAATTAAGACAATGTATTAAATAGTTGCAACCACAATGCAGCATACAACAAACTAATCAAAACACAGATGTGTGTTTGGATTAGCTTATTTGCTTTCAGAAAAGCTCATAAATAAATTATTCAGGAAAGGTTTTTGACTGTAAAATAATCAAAACCAAGCATGCACATATCAATAACACAGTAAAGAGACAGAAGTCATACTGCTTAGTTTCTTGCTTAGATTGCTCAATTGGACCCCAGAACAAGTCATCATCCCCCTTGTACTTTGACTGAGAAGAGACATTAGAGTTTATCTGAATTGGAGAGGCAGCTTTAGATGGAGAGTAAGCTGAAATTGACCGTGAAGAACTACTATTCCAAGTAGCCTGGGCAGGCTGTGATTTCTGAGGGGAAGGCATTGGGCCAGTGGGCACTGCAGAAGAAGCCTTTTTCTCCTGCTCCTTCAGAATGTCCCTTAATGAAGTTGGTTTAGGAACCCTACCAGAATCAGTAGACCATGCTGGAGAAGGAGATGGGCTCGGTGGCTCACGCTCTCCTTTCCAAGGAACAAAGTCTCCCAGAGAGGGTCCTGCAGGGATGGCAGGCAATACTTCTTTCTCCTCCTGTGCAGAGCGGGAACCTTTTCCCTTATCAATGGGGCTTGAAGCTACAGGCACCTCAGTAGATGTAATGGGCATTGATGTTTTAGCTCCTGAACCCTTTGATTTTGTTGACTTTTTACGGCTTCTTTTAGTATCTTTTGCCTCAATAAAGTTGCTATCATCTAGTGACTCTGAATGCACAGGTATATTTTGTGAGGACAAAGTACTATCTGGAACCTCGGCATCTCTTTCACTAGATTTTTTTAATACTTCTTCTGCTAATAGATCATGTAGCGGACTTTTCTTGCTCTTAAGATTTTGAGAAGTTTTAGATTTAACAGGGTATTCTGTATTGCCTCCTCTGTGACTTTCACCAGATAACTTTATAGAGTCTGGATGGGCCACAACCCCAGCCCAGGGAGTTATCAGACTTGTTGAATTGACAGAAGTAGCAACATCAGATGCAAGCATTTCTGTCTCTGCCTTTCTTTGCTCTTCCTGTTGAATTTCTAAGAAAGACTTTGCCTTGACACCTGGAGCAGGTTTCCAAGCTCTTCCTGCAGGTGATTCATTCTGTGTGGAAATGGAACCAGCTGCCTTGGACTCACCCACAACAACTGTTTCAGTGATGCTTCCAGTAACACTAGCAGGCAGACTACTAACTTCTTGATGATAAGCTGCCTCTGGGACAGCAATTCCAGTCTGATTTCCCTTACCACTTGTTTGTTGCAGATATGTTTCATGTACTTCATCCTTGTTGGCTTCCCCCAACTCCCTAAAGTTTGGCATTTCAGCTTCTGAATGTTTTGATGGTTGCAAAGTCACGTTTTTCTGCGATCCCTTTGCTTGATCAGAAGACTGAGATTTGGTAGACTTTTGCTTCTTCGATTTCTTCTCAGTAGTTTTTTTGGGTTCAAGTGCTTCAACGTTTTGCACAGAGGGCTCAACATTAGAGTTGTCTCTTCCAGCCTGCTCCTCTTGATGCACAATATCTGATTTGATCTTCACAACCGTACCAAGATAGCTGGCCGGTGGTAACTCAGCCCCACTAGATCCAGCTGAAGATATAGCAACAGGAGGTGCAATACACTGTAAATGTCCAGAATTATTATCAGGCTTAGAAGTTGCAGTCATGACAATACCATCAGGTCTAAAAGTGCTGTCTGGAACCCACTCCACAGATTTAACAGTACAGTCAGAAACAGGTTCCTGTGCAATGTGAGGTTCCTCTTTGGATCTGTTCTGATCATGCAATAGGGAACTCTCAACCAGAGTTGATATGGGGAACATTTCCTTCTGATACTTTTCAATAATTTGGTTAGGAAGAGGCCCCCAGTTTTTCTGAGGACTAGTATCCCCAAATAATTGGTTGGGTAGACGTATAGAAGAAGCTTCACTGCTTAAATTATAACTTGTGTCGTGCCTAACTTTCAGAGGTAAATTCAAAGAATCAGTACTAAGATCATTGTGCACACTGGGAATTGGAGTTTGAGAGCTAACGGGAAAAACATCTTGTGGAGGTTGAGGTTGAGAAGGATCCACACCCAAATTCCCAAATAATTGGTGTGGTAGATGTATAGAAGAAGCTTCACCGCTTACATGATAACTTGTGTCTTGGCTAACTTTCAGAGGTAAATTCAAAGAATCAGTACTAAGCTCATTGCGCACAATGGGAATTGGAGTCTGAGAGCTCATGGGAAAAATATCTTGTTGAAGTTGAAGCTGAGAAGGATCCACACGCAAATTCCCCATTGGTATTACACCTGGCAACTGTCCATAAGATGTATCCCCAAAGCGCTGGTTAGACTGCTGGTCCTGCAGCACTTGAGAAAGCAGTTGTTGCTTTTGTTGCCGCAATAACTGCTGCTGCTCCTCCTGCTTTTGTTGTTGCCTCAGCAACAAGAGTTTATCTAACAAGGGCATCTGCTGTGCTGGAGCAGCTGCCTGAGAATGCAACTGCAACAAGTATTGCTGTTGGAGCATATTCAATATTTGCGGATCTTGAGATAGACCAGAAGAAAGTAGCTTCTCTGCTGTCAAAAGACTAGATGGGCTATCAGCAGCTTGAGCCAGTAAATTTCCTAAAGACAATTGATTTGGTGCTTGCAGCCTTTGTTGTTGAATTCCAAATGGCACTTGAGAAAGACTCTGATCATGAAGTAAGTCAATTTTATTCTGAAGGGGATCCAATCCACCCTGTAAGGGATAGTTTGGCCATCCAGCAGCACTATTAGTTAAGCCTGCGGATGTCCTGTCAGACAATCCTTGGATGATTGACATCAACTCAGAATTTTGGGACTGAGGTTGACGGGAATTGTCACTCACTGAGGACAAAAGTTTTGAATGCAGGGATGCATCTTGCACAATATCTGATTTTGGAGCAAGGGCAGCAGCATCTCGCCCCGGCCAATAAGGGTAAGGATTGGGTAAGGACCTCTGTTGTTCAAGTGCCATCCTCTTGGCAAGCAAGTAAAGCTTGTTTCCACTATCTAATCCTGGTGGGCCAAGATTACCAGAATTATTTCCAACAAAACCTTGTAAACCTGAAATGCATATATCATATTGGTATCAAACCCATCCTCTCAAGAAATAGTCAATGCAGTATATACAAAATGGGGGAAATAATTATCAAAAAGAAAAACGAAGTACATTAACAACACAGAAAATACATTTATATACAAATTATCAAAAAGAAAATGGAAAATAATTAAAAACATGTAAGAACCTTCTGATAATGTCAGACTATCAAGTGGGGGACTGCTCTTGTTACCAGACATGAGGGACTCCAGATACCTATTTTCAACTTCTGCAGCAGAACTCTGCCTATGCCTAGAATCACTTCTCAATAACTCAACCTCACTCAAACCAGTAAGGGTATTTCCTAAGGTACTGGAATTTTGCCGGCCAGGTACATCTGTAAATTCATTTGATTTTGGTGCAGAAAACCCTGGTGGTGGACGGGCTTTAGCTCGTAAATGGGGCATGATATCGCCAAGAGATGACCATGTTGAATCAGCTGCTGAATTTTCCAGACGAACAGGTAAATCAATACCAAAATATCCAGCCTCAAACCATCCAATAATATCAATTCCTTTAAATGGACCCTGGATTTGACCCTTTGGATCTCTATACAAAAGAGATAACTCCTCTGGAGCAGTCTGCAGAACTCTCCTGGTTTCCAGTTCAGTGTCCAAAACGCCAGATAGCTGCCTCTTAACAACAGGATCTTCACCAGCTTGCCACTTACCTACTTCTTTAGAGTCAGATAAATAACCCAAATTACTTTCCCTCTGATTATGAGGATCTTTTGGCTGGTATGAGCTCATATGTGATTTTATTAATTTAAGATCACTAGGCCCATCTCTGCTATCGTGCAAGAGAGTGGTTGCATGTTCACTCACTGGCATGGCTCGCCATGCAGCACCAGGATGAACAGAGCTATTTCCTTCAAAGGATGAATCTCTATTACTGGACACCTCATCAGCCACTCTGTAAGACCCTCCATCTTCACCTCTATCTGTAAATAAAATATTTAGAAAATTTCCTGGTAAGTGGAGACAACAACATCAACATCAACAACACCTTTATTCCAAATTAATTGGGGTCGGTGGTAGATGAACCCACATGAAAGATACAAAACGGTTGAAAAAAAAAGTAAAAAAAGCAAATAAATAAATAAATATATAAATAAATAAATAAAAATAAACAAATAAAATAAAAAAAATAAAATAAAGGAAATTATATTTGTGAAATCCAAAACGTGTAGTGCACAAAAGCAAAGTAGAAAATTACTTGAGTTACAAATGTGAAAGAGGAAACCAAATGATGAGAGATAGATAATGTCGTAAAACAAGGTAGAAACAGAAAAAATACATAGTGGGGAAATTATTAATTAAGAACTGAGCTTGTTTGTGACCATGTGAACATACTCAGCAAACATGTTAATCTTCAAAATCATAGGTTTTCAAACAATTTGCGCTATACGGTAATATGAATATCACCTTGAAAATCTAAACAGAAATGAAACTATTAATGTGTGATGATATTCAAAAATACCCAATTCCCAGGGTTTAATTCACTTTTTCCATTAGCTATAACTTCATTTTTTAACATGTCAGAAGATACCTAAGATCCTGTATTTTTTCCATAGTTTGAGAATTGTAACTGGTGTTTTCTTTTCATTTAAAGAGCCTTTTGAGCAATTCATACAACCAAATTTCAAAATTTCAGAAACTGAATATGATAATGTCTATAATAATATCACCAGAGCCTGCTAAAACAATGCAGTTCCAAAAGTTATCCTGTGCCCGAACCTATCTGTAAGTTTATATCCTGAAAGTACCTTGGAGAGGTGCATTTCCAAGCTTCATTCGTCTTGTATGAGTAAAATCTGTTGAGCCCCCCCTTCCATCTTTTGGCACCTGAGGTGCACTGCTACTAATTATTTCCCCTTTGTCAATACCCTTTAGGACAGACTGTTGAAACAGAAAAGCAATACACTAAACCACTAGAAGAGACAATGGCATCCAGCAACGATACAAAATGAAACAAAAACAGCAATTACCAGTTCCTCAGAATTTGGTACCAGAAGAGCTAGAGGTTCCAATGGTTCATCCTGTGCGAGATGAGGTACCTGCAAAAAATCATCATCTAGTTTTCTATATGTATTCATATCAGTCACTCTGTACACATCAAGCAATTTTGTCCTATTATATCTGAAGAGGCAAGATTCTTCATGCCCACTTTCAGCTTTATCCAATGCAGTTCCAGGGTATGTGCTATTCAAAGAGCTACCACCAGAGCCAGCGCGGCCATGTCCAAGACTAAAAACTGAGGGCATATTCTCACCGCGACCACGCCCATAGGAAAATGTAGACACTTGTTTGTTTGGTGTTGTATTTTGGGAAAGGGGAGGCTCTACCCTTCCACGGCTTTGTGAGTAGTTAGGTCTCCATGGCCGATAATGATCTCCCTCCTTCTCATCCTTTCCATGATTAGAAATGTGAGACGAACCTTTGTCCAGATGTATATCACCATCTTTTCCAGACTCGGTCCATTTTTCACGAAGACCTTCTGACTCCTTATCATCAGGACCCCAGCGTGTGTTCCACTTACTCTCACGCCGCTGATCAAAGTTAGTTTCTCGGCTTCCTGGATCATTCCGTCTATGGCTATCAGATGTGCCACGGCGTGCTTCTCCTAAGTTCCTTGCAGATGGATTTTCTGACCATCGATCCACTCTCCGAGAATCACCAAGGTCTTTGTCGCCATTCCGATTTTCTGTCCACCTATCCACTCTCCGAGAATCACCTAGGTCTTTGTCACCATTCCGGTTTTCTGTCCACCGATCCACTCTCCGAGAATCACCTTGGTCTTTGTCTCCATCCCTCCAACGATCCTTACGTATGGAGGACATAGTGTCTCTCTCTTCATCACGCCAACGATCACGGCGTCCACCTTCTGATTCAAACATGGATGGCCTAAAGACATCCTTTCTCTTATGGGTATCATGGGCATCCTCTCCATTTCCAGATGTCTTAACAGTCTCTGGGCGATTGCCATACAGTGGATTTGACAACGCATGGTTTTCCTGAGTCATCAAAGATAGATAAGGAAGGGGGAAAGCAAAAATCTTTGAACCAATTATAAATTATTTCTCGGATGTTAAAGGCACACCCAAATCTTATTTGCTGAGAAGCATTCTACAAAATTACAAACAGACAAAAAAGAAATTCTAGAAGTAGTCAATACACACCACAGCTCCTGTTCCAGGTTTACTCTCCCCTGGCTTTGGCAGAAGCCACTGTGGTGAGAGTGGAATAGGAATGTCAGAGCCTTGGGCATCTGCACAAAAGATATAGAAACTTTAATTATGGGGGGGGAAAAGATTTTAACCAATCTCAAAAAGTTCCCAAAGATATTAACGTGAGTTTCATAAAATACACGTCAAGCATGTAAGACACAGAAGACAAGCTTTGACCACTAAAAAAAGTAGAACACAGTTTGTCAAACAATTTAATTCCCCGAGTAAAAAAAAACTTAGCAGCATTTAACATAAGCAATTAACTGCCTTCTCTTCTGTTCCAATACACCCACGCCACAAACATACCAAGAAAACAGAGAAAGATAAGCATGAGAAGATTAATGAAAAAAAAAATTAATCTTTTTTAAGGAAAAGAGATAAATTATGCATTGACAGACTCATGCAACAAGAAGCTGAAGTCAACAGATCAGTAAGATCAAACCAATATATGCCTGATTATGTTGAGTACAACATTAACAGTCACTCATGGCATGAAGAATGTGAACATGCAAGTTGATAATATCACCTGCACGCATGAATCAGTATATGACAAGTATGTACACCTGCGAATTATATGTATGGAAAGTTCCAAAAAAATAAAAAACGCAATCAACCATGCAAAAAAGAGAGAGAGAGAAGCGACACTCTCAGTCAGTATATCAAGCAACATCAGATAGAATCAGGTGGCAGCAGCCTGATTTGAAATAATCTTTTATTTTGGTAAACATGGAAATAACTCAAAAGACCAAAAAAAATTTCACATTTCAACCATTAGGAAATTAGTATTCCCCAAAATACAACCTGAATAGTGAAATCTACCAAGTATCTTAAAAATAAAATTAATTTCAAAAAACAGTGACATTTAGTGTAATGTAAAGCTCTAAACTTCTAGACCTCAAGTTTACAAAGGAAAACAGAACAAACCCGGAATAAAAAAGAGGGGAAATGAAGCATTATCAGGTAGTTCAAAATTCAAACACTTAAAGAGTATAGATAAGAAGAGAACAGAATGCGTCAAGTAAACCCCTTAGTAACGACGAATTCGTCAATGTCACTTACCTCACTTACCTCCCCAATCCGTACACGAAGCAGAAACAAAACCCTAAGCTCGAACACAGAAATGAACTGCATTTCGGTTGTTAACATAACGCAAATAAAAATAAGAGCCGAAGTGGCTGGCGGAAGCTAGGGTTTATGTGCGGAAGTGAGAAAACGGAACGGAAGAGAAACGGAAAAAATATAACAATAAGAAGAAATAATCGGAGCGAAGAAAAAGTCACACGAGATTAAAAAAAAAAAAAATACCTTTGGAGATCTGCAATGGAGGTGCAGCAGAGACGTTGAGGCGAGTTTCGGAGGTGGCGCGTTCAGCCATGGAAGATTGTTGATCAGCGAGAGTAGGAATGAACCGAATGAAAGCACTGAGCGAAAACCCTTTCTGAACGAGGTAAGATTGTGAGAATATAGGTTAAGCCTTCAACCCAAGATAAAAATGTGTTAGGGCGCACGTTAAAACTATGCAAACCCCGTTGGCGCACGTTAGTGGGAGTCACAGCTTTGTTCTCTGACCCCCGATTGTTATTTTGTTCGACGAGTTCCTTGTGATTTTTCGAGCAAAATAAATAATAACCACGCGATGAGAAATTGAACGTGTCCAACACGATGTCAATATTTGAAGGTCGTGGTTCTCACGCGCTTTGGGTAGTGCGAACTGGGAAGGGTTTTTGTGCTGTTAGAATTTCCCTGGTATTTATTTATTTATTTTTTTTTTGGTACAGGTATCCCCGTTCAATCTTCTCCGGGCACTATGCCCTTGTGGTACGGCTCGTTTGGGCTAGCCCCTCATTGTAACAGTGGGTGCACTAAGCTTCGCAACCGGAGAAAGGACAAGACTAATTCTCCAACCGAAGTTTTTTGACTTATCCTCTAGCCCCCAAAAATTTTCCAAAAAACTGCTTGAGGCAGGGTTTGATCCCTGCACCAAGCAATCCCTTAGGAGCTCAGCTGTCAACTGAGGTACCCCTACGCTTGGGTATTTATTTTTTCGATTACTTTGAGGGGTGCGCACTTCCCCACAACCCGATGGATACGAAACGACGTGGGAGAGAGTCGTTTGTGTCCCACACTAAAGGCGATGCTAAAAGCGGACGGCTATTATGTGATCATCAGTTTTTGCATATTTATTATTTTGTTTTTTGTTTTTTGAGATAATTAGAGTTAATAGATATTTGCAAACATGGGGACTACATGGCTTGGAGCACATGGCGTGCAGGGTAAAATCACGATGTTGTTCTTTCTGTGTTTCTTGTTTCTTTTGCACTTCCTTTTCTTTTTTTCTTTTTTTCTGCCACTCCTTCACTTGTGGTTGGGTTGTGGACAAGTAATTTATATTATGATTTTGCACTTTTGGCTTTTATCAAGGACCAAGCTTTGTAACATTATAAAATAATGACATGAAGTGCGGCAAATTAACTTGTTTAATTTAAAACTACTTTGCAAGTTCTAAATAAAGGATTTAGTATATCAGACTTTTCCTTTTAATAATAATTTTGAGATAAGTTACAGGGAAAATAACATTGTTTTAAAACCTCGTCCCATCTCGGGATAAATCCTACTTGCACGTTGACCCCTCTAACCACGAAAGTTGAACCCATAACTCCCGGGTCAGAGGGGTCATTGCATTTTTATTTTTAATTTTAAAAATTATACATGAAATGACGTTGTTTGATGTGTAAAAAAAAAATCTCGTGTTGGCTAGAGTTAGAACTAGATCTGAAATCTGAATCGTTCTTCTTCTTCTCTTTCGATCTTCTCTTCTAGACACAGATTCGGTCTCCAAAAATTTTTAGAGGCATTTTAGCAAACAACTTTTGGGCAATGGTTAGCAATTAAATTTGTTTATGAACTATTATGACAGTACTAGCCAAACTAGATGAAACAAAGAGTGAAATTAGTGGAACCATGTGCAACGACTCAGAATTAATCGGCTTAGAACAAGGTCGACCAGTGATCGATTGAGCTTGCGTGTGAATAGAAGAATGGTTGAACGAAAAGGAGAGCTCAAAGCTGGAATGATCTCGTCAATCAGATCTGGGCTACCAATATGGGGCTCCGGTGAAAAGGAGCTCTACATCTTGTGATATCGGAGCTCCGCTTATGAGAGTCATCGACTACTACTCGCCTGGCTGTTGGTTGTGTGGCCACCGTCAGCGGCCTGATTAACGTTGCTTGTGGTTCCCTTTGTCGTCATCCCTTTTTGATTTACTTCGTTCGATGTCGTAACAATTTGGTATCCTAAAACTTTAGAGCTTAGTGAGTTTGGTTGGTCCATAACTTTTGATCGGCTAACATCCAACTGAATAGTTGTGGAAAGCCCTTTGAATCTTAGTGGCTGCTGCTTTTCCTTTTTCCTCATGGATCAAGTTTTGGAGCATCTGCATCATGTTCTTGCATGTAGCGTTCATCTCTGCAAAACCAGATCGAATCTCCAAAAAAATGATGGAAGTAGTTGCCATGGTGGGTTCAACTCTTAGCGAAAGCACTAATTGTTAAAACTAAAACTTTCTCACTTCGAAGGGAGAATACCTCATTAACCAAAAGGTTATGAAAGTACTTCTTTGCTAATTTTGAAAGAGAAATTATAGAGACTTATATAACCATACTCTCCCTCGTAAAACAAAAATTGCTCAAAAGGCAAATACATGTTTGGCATCACACACTCGCACAACATAAACTAACAATAAAATCCTATTACATGTTAGCTATAACAACCTTCCAAGTCACTCCTTAATTTCCTTCCCTTGTCTAACAACATTATAATTGCCCATTTGTATCAATATAAATAACGGTGTTATACCTCATACTAGAATAAATAGTGCACATATATATCCAAAATACCAATAGATAACAGAAGACACTGATCCAGGCTTGATATAATAATAACGATAATAATAATAATAATATCCTTTGATAGCATAAGTTCATTCATGTTGCACAATGGAATCATATATTGTGCAATACTCAATTGTGCAAATCGTCTCATTGATAATCAGCCTTGGAGTTCTTTTTTTTTTTGGTTAAAGTAAATAGTGGAGACTATCCATGTGCAAACTTTAATTTCTACTCTTATTATTTTACTTCAAAACGGAGTTGGGTTTACAACCTACACAATTTTTCACTCTTTTTCTCACTTTAACAGAGCTAGAAGTTATTGCAATAATATTGTTACAAAAATTAATAGAATTTCGATTTTGTAGCATTTTCATGGGTTAGGTTATGGTGTTATACATGATACTGGACTAAGCATTTCTCCAAAAAAAAGGCTTTGTTTCCACGATCGTGTGATCTCTCCGCCTCAAGGCGATTAGTTCTTGGCTTTGGTTGGGGGATACTCTTGAAACAAATTCCAAAAAAAAACATACACATGTCCAAAACTCTGGTAGGTAACATAAGGTATTGATCAAGACTTGATATAAAGCTCAACAAAAATAGTAATAAACTTTGGACAGCACAAGCTCATTGACTTTTCCTGCAAGAATAAAAAACTGAAAATCTCAATTTCGCAAATTGTCTCATTGTTAAACAACGACGAGGTTCTTTTTTTTTGTTGATTTCAGATATTAGTGAGTAAATAGTATCGGATGAATAATGTTTAAAGTCGCTTTTCGGATGAAAAGTGCAGATACTGGTTCTGCTTCACGGTATAAATGTATACCGGTGAAGTATACCGAAAAATTATAATAAAAATATAAATATTCATAGAAAAATATCTAGGTCCACGATATCAAGTTTGGAATAAGAATAATGAGCGTTAATGTCAGAACTAATACCAGCTACGTATAAAACGCGTATCGATAAAGTGCTGCGAAAATTATAATAAAAATATGATAATTCCTAGAAAAATGTATAGGTTCAGAATATTAAGTTTGGAAGTAAAATAATTAGCGGAGCTATTAGAACTAATACGGACAGATTGATTAAGTGCTCCTATAAATAGAAAATATGCACAAAACCCTATGCTATTATTCAACTTCTACGTAGAGATTTTCTTGGCTGTCACCTTCCTTCCTTCTTGAAAGCTTGAGCCTTTTGCATGAAAAATGACTCAAGAGCACCCTTTTACATCATTTTCTTCTTGTTTGAGTTGATCAACCATTGATACAACTTGAAAGTAGCCATCTTGAGGCAAAAAGACCCCTTATTAGAACTTTCTTGTTACTATTTTAGAGAGGTGAGAGTGAGTCTTGTGAGTTTTTAGAGTTGGAGCCAATATCAAGCTTGCTTGGAAGCTCTTAATGGTGAGAAGAGTGATTGGCATCACTACATTTTCGTGTACAGTGCTTAGCGGAAGCAAAGAGTGGATTTTTCAATCTCAAAGACACTCTGTTTTCTATTTACAAAGCCTTAGGAACATTCTACACCTTTGTTCTTGAGTTTTTATTGAAAAGAATGAACTTTGATGCATGTATTAAGAGAAAGTTTGTAACCTAGGTGTAAAAATAGTATAACACATCTAAAAATGCATGCTTGAACGCTTGTAAGTGTTAAAAATGGAACCTTGAAAGAATATCTTCGCGAAAATGCAAAACTACATTTTGTCGCGAAATATCCGGATATGAATATCCAGATATTGAGTTTGTGATATCTGGATATGGATATCCGGATATTGGGCCTGTGATATCTGGATATGGATATCCAGATATTGGGCCTGTGATATCTGGATATGGATATCCAGATATTGGGCCTATGATATCTGGATATGGATATCCGGATATTGGTTATGTGATATCTGGATATGGATATCCGGATATTGGGTCTGTGATATCTGTATATGGATATCCGGATATTGAGTTTGTGATATCTGGATAGGGATATCCGGATATTGACCTGTGGTATTTGGTTATTGATATCCGGATATGTCCTCGAGGAATATCGAGATATTTTGGGAAAAATCATGTTTTGAGCTATTTTACTCAAACAGAAGTGTGGTTTAGGTTTCTGGACCCTTAATTGGTTAGTATGAACCTCTGTAATGATTTAACTAAGCCAGAACCACTAATATTGAAGACTTGTGGCTTTGAGATAAGCCTACGGTCATTAAACGAAAAAAGAAATGTTGTCCTAATGCAATGAGCTTCTAGACTATGAACATTAGTGATATTTCTAGTATGAACAAACTGTGATTGTGCTGTTTGGTGACCCGTGGACCTTGTGTGGACTTCTAATTGGTAATATTAGCTTGACAGGTAAGCTTTCATGTCCTCAGTTTTACCCATTGATGGTTCCACCCTACCTCATGGAGGGGTGATTTATATATATGATGTATTTTTTGAAATTATATGAAGAATATTTGATATGTTGTTGAGCTATTTTTATAAGTGCAAATGTCATATGATATGTATATGGGGTGTTCCACCTAGACGGTAATCCCTGAA